GGGGGGGGGGATCGAACTGGCTCAAGACCTGATCTGCAAGCATAGCTACTCTCTCTAGGGCCCAGAGTCTAGGACGCTATCTGGCCGGACTTCCTTGGCCCTGGAAATTCCAGCCCGATTGATGAACTTCCGGCCACAGGGCAGCCCTCCCGTGACGGCTGAGCTGCCAGTACCGGGCAATGATCGCGCCAATGATCGCGAGGTCCGGGCGGAGGCGCCCGCCTGTTGATTGTCCATCGACGGAACGGCTATGACACGACCAGAGAAAATGCGTCCTGGCACAGTGACACTCTTTTCCCCGCCGTCTTCTCCTTGCCCCAGAGAGCCTCTGGACCCCGCCACCGTCTACGCACGCGGCGCAAGGAGGCATCCAAGCCCGAAACCCCACTCCGTTCCTCCATCTCCAGGCAGCACCGGGATTGCTCTGTGCGCTGCCGCCACCCGCTTTGCACAGCAACTCAGCAAGGTCATGAACAGCCAGCCCCCTGGCCAGGAGACACCACCACCCCTACCCACCCCGCCCCCTGCTTCTCCCCAGGGCTCTGGCTCCCGGCCCCTGTAGGCCCAACTAGGGATTTCGAGGATTAGATACGAGCCCACTAGGGCTGGAGGAGAGCCTCCCGCTTCTCAACCCCTCATACCCGGCCCAATGCACCCCTTTTCTAGCTCTCGGAACCTCACAGCCCGGTCCCCAGCTTTAACAAGTCGCTTGTTGTCAGAAAGAAAGAGAGTGGGGAGCGGGGGCGAGGAACACAGGGCTTAAATCTTTTCCCATAAAGAAATCAAGTGTGGCCTGAAGGGGGCGCAACGTGCCCCTGGTTCCACTAGGTAAACTGAGTCACTAACTACACTGCAATTCACTCGCTATTTATTTCATTGGTTTTTGAAAATTTCTCTAAGATAATTTTTGTTATGTGGCTGCACAGTTGGCTAAATCTATTATTTCTTTGTTCTCCCAAAGACAGATCGTTGAAGCTGCATCAGTTTTATTTTCACTGCACTTTCCAACTTAATACATCCCTCCATTGTTTCTTTGTCTGTGCGATTATACAGACTTTTTATTCCATCATGTGATGTTCATTTAAAGAGAGGGAGTTACAACATATCATGAACTGTTTCTTTTATTTCGTTGTCTTGTGCCCCGTGGGGTTGGGGATTGCACATACAGCCGGTCACTTGAGTGACTCGGAGGATAGAGTCTGGGAAGAGGGAAGAATTCTTTGCACCCAGAGGGCCCGTGGCCCCAGGTCTCCTGTGGAGCCCAGGGCTGCGTTCCTCTGACTGCCAGGCTTCAGGGCATGAGGAAGGATTTTTGCAAAACTTGCAGCCATACGGGCCCAGCAGCCTACACCTGTACACTTTCACACACACACACACACACACACACACACACACACACACACCATGGCCTGGGCTGTTGCCACCTTGAAAGGGTATTTTTACAGCTTTCACTGAACACTCAACATTGTCCTGGTTGTTGTTACTGCCACCGTCCTCTCTACCGCTCAGTCTCAAAAGTCATTCCCTCCCAGATCCACACTGTTTGAGGCAATATTAGAGATGCTTTTCTTTGGCTAAATCTTCTCGGTTAGGCCAGAGAGAGAAGATGTGTCTCTGCCTGTTCCGGGTCTCCTCCCTGATCCCAGGTCGTGTGTGTTTGTATGTGTGTGTTGGGGGGGGGCGGGGAAGACAGACAGACAGACAGACAGACACCCCGAGGCGGCGTGTTACCTG